TAGGAACCATGCAGGGTTTAGATCGATTGGAAGGGCCCTTTTTAGCAGTGCTAGGTCGGGGTTGGCCACTACCAACCTCTACCCCGTCACCTAGAGCCCGGGTTCCTACAAAAGCAGCAGCCGAAGAGGCAACGGCCTCTTTAGCTTTAGCAATAGCCGCCTGGGCCAGCTCGTTAGCCCGAATAGTAGAGAGAAGAGCAGCAGGAGAACAAACTTCAGGATCTACTGACACTCCCACATCTGACATAATATTTAACAGGAAATCATCAGATAGAGACGGTGGGACTAGCCGGGACGGGGAAGAAGAGGGACAAGGGCCATGGTGGTTACCTGAAGGAGGAAGATCCTTAGCAGTAGCCCGCCTCTCCGCCTGCTCCATGATGGAACCACCCGCATTAGCAACCCGCCTAACCGTACGGGCCGTGGATGCGGGCGACCGAATCGCAGGAGAAGGAGCCACGGGAGAAGTCGGGACGGGCCCGGAGCGGGACATCGAGCCGAGGTCCTTGTCGAGGCGGCGACAGACGCCAGTCATGGACTGCTTGGAGCACGAGGAGTTTCTGCTCTTAGCCGAAAACTTGCGCACAGAAGATTTCTTCTTTCTCTTAGACTGGGCTCCCACCTCATCATGAACAGGAGAAACGGGTAGGTCCTCAATCCCGAAGCGAGTGGGTGAGATCGGGCGAACCGGGAGGTTGGAGCAGGCACCGGAGGTGGGAGTGACCGAAATCGGCTGGTTCTTCAAAAGCACATCATTAGCAGGAGGAATCAGGGAGTCAGCCTTGGGGATCGCCACCGGCTCACGAGGAGCCGTACCAGCAGGGGCCTGGGATTGCAACAACTCACGCTCCGACTTGGCTAGCCCGTCCCATTCAGACCGGGTAAACCTCAGGTTAGAGCCATCACTTGGATTTTGACCACCAGCAGAACCATCACCCTCCTTGTCATGCTTGTCGGAGGGGTTGGATGGGGGAGGAGGGGGAGGTGGGGGTTGAAAAGCGGCCGCCCCTTCCACCCGAACCCGGAGTCTGACACCACTTGGGGAAGGGAAGACATCAATAGCTCCATGAACACACAACAGATCCACGCACCAAATCTTAATCCGAGCAGGGCCAACCTTGTCCAAAGACTCAAGATCCACCTCCACGGGTTTCCAATCAGCACCCCGAACGCCATGAGAAAGGCAGACGAGCGAAGCCCTGCTGGCAGATCATCCACCAACACCCAAACCTGAGACAAAGGACCAACCGTCCTGCCACTGCAAGAGGCCGGCTTGACAGAAACCACCAGCTGGTTGAGGGGGAGGGTAAAGCTCATGCAAGAAGCAATCATCCGCAGGCAATCTTTGGAGGGGAAAACAACAGAGAATTCAAAGTCCGAAATCTGATTGACTTGCCAATCCCATCCCTCAACATCCCAAATCCGAAGCCCTTCCAGCAGAGTTTGAGGTGAGATCTTTTGGTCTTTCACATTAACGATAGAAACGTTAGAGAGGGAGGGCATCGCCGTCAGCACAGGAAGGTCACTGTCCAAGGCAAAGAAAGCGCATCCCGGGAGCCCCAAACCAAACTGGATGACCGACAGGGGTTTCAGGCGATTCATGCAGTTGACAGCAAGATGCCCATCAGAGCGGCAAATTAGGCAGAACGGAGGGTTGGTACATCTAGACTGAAAGTTCCCGGGCCTGTGGCAGGCGAAGCAGGTGAGCGCAGACGGATTGCTTGGGGTGGAGGAGGTGGGACGGATCTGCGGGAGGGAGGTGGCAGGAGACCGTCACCCACCCCCGACGAGGAGGAGGTACCAGGGAAAGGACCAGCAGGCCGACGCGCCGGCCCCGCAAAGGAATGCGGTGGAGGACGAGGCCCTGCACCTGCACCGGCCGGGCGAGGCAGAGGGGGGATCCAAGCCGAAGCAGACGCACCACGCCCCGCGCCAAGGGCCGGCAGAGCACCGGAGGAGGAGGAGATCCCCCCACTAGCCGCCGCCTCCCAGGGATCCACCGCCGGAGAGAGGGAGGCCCCAAATCCGGACCCTTGCGGGCTAGATCCAGATGCACGCTCCTGCTCCGAACGTTAAAGCCAATCCGGGCCGGCAGCCCACGCCGCACGGTCGCGAGCCACCTGCTCACGAGCCGCCTGCTCCGCCTCCAACTTGGAGCGGAGCGAGGCCTCAAGCTCCAGATCCGTAGCAGAACCCCGCGAGTCCTCCCGCCGACGCTTGCTACCAGACATCGCCTCGCAGGACGAGCCCCGCGACTTATCCATGGAGAGCATAGAAGCGAAGGAGAGGAGGAGGGGAGGGGGATGGCTAGATCTGACGAGACGGCGGATGGGGATCCGGTGGCGACGCAGATCTGCGACGGAAGCCGGAAACCCTAATAGAGGGGGGAGGCACCATGGGGGATCCATATATACCCTGACCGCGTCGTGCCCTCCAGGGCCCGACGGGCCAAGCGGGCCGAGGGGAGAGGGAGGGGGCCCAAAGCAGAAAGGGGCCGCACTGGGTCCACATGAGGGAGGGGGGAATCGACACCAGACGCCAGAGGGAGGGGGTGGGCCGACAGGACACACCACAGCCAGACGGCCCAACAGGCCCAACAGACGGGCCAGCCCGCGAGCCACTGGTCAACGGAAAGGAGACCAGATCTAGGGCAAGTGGAGCCAGCGCCGCGGCCCATCCCGGCGACGCTGCCGCCGGCGCCGGGAAGGCCGAACCAGGGCCGAAGGAGGGGGAGAAGGGGCACGCCACACCCGGAGCGGCACCCAAAATCCTAGGAGAAGGCGAACAGTGGGAGGCCTTACCAGATTTGCGATGGCCACGAGACACCCAAAACCAGCCATCATCAGACGGTAGCGACGCCACTGGCCGACCCCGGCCCCCAGGAGCGAACTTGCGGAGGCGAGGAGCGGCGGCAAGATGCGGGTCCCATCCTGGCCGACACGGCGAGAGGCAGGGAGACGGAGCCTCGTCCGACGAGCCGTCCCCATCGGGAGCGAGAGCCCAGAAGTGGGAGCCCAACGAAGACGATGGAGCCACCGGAGAGCGCCCCTCAACCAAGCTAGCGGGAGAGGAAAACCCAGATGCAGGGGGGAAGGGGGGGTCAGGGCCTAGATCGACGTCGGAGAAGCAGAGGGCGAGGACGGAGGAGCCGGGGCAAGGAAGAGGCGGCGCAGGGAGGGAGGGAGAGAGAGGATAGAAAGGAGCCATCCTCGGGTTGTTTCTTATCCATCGGAGAGCACTTTGTTTGACTCTTCGAAGCAATAATGGACACTAACCGCCACCACATCTTCTTCGTCATCGTCATCGTGGCTCTCGTTGTGATCTTGGCCTTGAGCTCCGTGTGCCGCCAGGCGCCACCCTGGTGTCCACGAGAATGGAGATGTTTATTTTCGCAAAAAAAAGAAAGATAATGGAGATATTTCCCATGGACCTTAGCTAGCGGACTGGCGGACGAGGTGCGAGGCGCTGATCAGCTCAAGCTAATCCTACCCTAAAAAAATCAAACTGATCCTTTATATTAATGTTAATAAGATGATCATTAATTAGCAAGCAGCGTAGCATAGAGAGGTCTAGCTAGCTAGGAAACATATTTTCTTTTTCCGCCGGCAGTTATTTTTCTAGGTAATCCCTTTTTAGTGCCATCTTCACCTTTGCCTTGCACTTCCAAGAAGTGTACGAAGTAAGAATGTAACATGATACACTTATACAAACCACAACAAAGTTGTACGGATCCTCAAAAAAACTACAAAGTTGTACTTAAATGCATCAGTTTTGAGTTCTATTTTCTCACATCTCGTGGACTTCTTTTAGAAACATCCAAGTAAAACATACACCCACGCACGCTAGCACATGCACACAATAACACGCCTTCAACAGAATACCGGGGAAAAAATCACCACATGCTAACCTTTTTTACCGCCATGTTCACATTGTTGACGTTTTTTTAAAAACAGAGGCAAACTGTCTCATCGATTTGTTAAACAGAAGAAAATTGCGCAATTATTTAACAGAAAGTTGGGCAAAAAATAATACAAACGAACGACATCGTCAGCGCTTGAGCACGAAAAATGTTTTGAGAAAGAGTTATGAGAAAACCAAACCATATGTATGTGTGATAAGTGGTTATCAATTATCACCATAAAATGGTGACATGAGTTTCAAAGTTGCTTGGTCGAGTTGTTCTATAGGAACAAGGAAGAATTGTTTCATGTTTGGTAGGTTTAGACTTTGGTGGCAAAGCGTGGTACTATAGGTCAATGCATCGGCCTTTGTCTGAGTTTGTACTTACGTTTATGCTTCATGACATACCGTGCTTGGGTATTAGTTAGTTATGTGAGTTTGCTTGCTCAGGGGCGAAGCTATCCTAGTGTTTGTTCTATTGTTTTGGGGAATATTATTTGTGTCTCATTCTTGTAATATGTTCTAGTGTTTTGAATGTGTGTGCGGTTGTGCGCCAAAGAACTAATATCAATATGGGGTGAAGTTTTTGTAACTCATCTTACGTTTTCCCATATTTTTTTCTAGTATCAAATGTTTTCCTAGTATTTCTGACTTACATCAGGAACTATTAAGCCATGAAACAAAAGAGGCTTGTGTTTGTGTGGTATCCATCTTTTTTTGGCTTGTATTTTGCATTTATAAAAACTCAAATGGTGCATGGCTTCATACAATTAATCAAGCGTTTCAATGTACATATGATCTTTGGTGGGCTCATATCCCACAAGTGGTACCCAACGGTCAAGATAATATGCTCGTTGCGCATATGATTATTGAATACTTTGCTTGGATTTGGAAGCAGAGAGCTAGCGGTCATCTTCAACCTCTAGACAGAGCCAATCACTTTCATCTCTCTAGTTGAACTCTTGGGAGGGATATTACAATGATAATAACACAAGGACGGAGAATGAGCAGACTGCATGGAGGGGTACGTTGTGCTCGTTGGGGAGGATCAATAGTTCTTGGGTACCTGGTTGCTGAAGGAATGTGATGTCCAAAGGAAGATGAGGACCAAGATGTTGGAGGGTGACGTGCAAGCGATCACTAGATGTAGTTGGAACAGTCTTGAGCTTGAGAACATTACCATTTTATACCCTATTCTTATCAATTTTCTTCAATGCTTCCTATTCCTAGGTAAGACACATACACAACCAAACTATATGGTTCTTAGTTACATGTTCTTATTTCATTTTGGCTTCTCGTCTCTTGACACGGCTACTATGTAACACTCCACTAGACCATTTATCTCTCCTCCTTACGTGTTTTGGTTGTTACCACTTTTGTTATACTAGTGCACCCATCACATAACTGCCATGCGTTGCTTAATCTTTAGCTTGTATGTCACACGCAATTTTATTATTGATCTTCTAATTTTGCTATGTATGGATTGTGTTTGTGTGTGTGTGAGAGAGAGAGAGAGATAGAGATGGAGAGAGATCATTAAAAAACCGACCATATTTGGGTTTACAACAGATCTTTAGGAGCACGAATTAGCATCTCTTCCAAAACAAGAGATTTCACTAGCATTAGCCAGGAAACAATGTTTTACTTCTTCCGTTTTAGACTTTGAGGCTTGG